AAACTAGAGCAGGCAGCTGAGAAGAAAGAGTACAGCTAAAATCCAGTAAAGTGCAATAAGTAATATGTATTATACACAGTCGTGAGAAAAGGAGAGTACAGCTTCTTTCAACAACAAGGTTTTGTTTATCAGGGGCATATTTAAAAAAACACAGCTGGTCTTTAGCAGGTCTTAAAATGAAGTTAATACAGTGTCAAATGAAGTCAAAATGCAGAAACAGCAAATGAAGAACTCAGTATGCTCTCAATGCTTTCATGGGAGTTAAGAAGGTAAGATCAGGTAACATAATGGCAAGAAAGAAAACATCAGCAATGACAGAGAAGCAAATGTTTCTGCTCATCAATCTGGGAAGAGATATAAGAAATTATACAGTGAGAAAATGGAAAATGTTTAAGACAGTTGACAATCTTCCCAACAGTGGATATCGAAGTAAATTCAGGTCAGACTGTTCAGTGCGCAGAGAAACTGCAAAACACTCGTGAGCGACATCTCCTGCTCTACAGGCCTCGGTTAGCATGGGAGGTTTTTAAAGTTCATGGCAGCACAGTTAGAAAACAAGCTGTACTTGCTCAGCAAGCCATGAATACAAGTTATACATTCAGTCGTTTTCTTGCTTAGAAAAAGACTGAACAGGTTTGTTTGGAAGGAGAAAGCCAGGAGAAGCCTTTTCTCTCTTAATCGAACAGCTTAGCTTTACAATGTTGCCTCTGAATAAACCACAAGACTTCTACAACAGTGTCCTTTGGACAGACAAGGCCAAAGTGGACATGTTTGTCCATAATGCACAGCGCCATTTTTGGCAAAAACCAAACATAGCACATCAGCACAAACAGATCGTGTCACCTATCAATCATGGAGGTAGACAGGTGATGACAGGATCTGGGCTTCTTCCAGTCACCGAGTGGACGATGAAGTCTTTTCTGAGGTCGTCTGCCTGACAGCTCGGATTAGGTTGAGATCGGGTGATGCAACAGGACAACAACCATATTCAAAGCAGCAAATCAAGAACAGAATGAGTGTAATAAATAAATAAATAAATCTCAATCCAGGCAGTCAACCTGACTGAAATGCTGTGGCTTTGAGAAAGCTGTGCAACAAATGCCCGCAAACCTCAATGAACTGAGGCAATGTTGTAAAGAAAAGTGGGTTAAAATGACTCCACAGTGACGTGAAAGACTGATAAAGTCATACAGAAAATTATTATGTCAACTTATTGCTAGTAAAGGTGGAGAATTAATCTTTTTTGCACGCTGTTTCCGAGTTCTGGTTTTGTTTTAGTTCAATAAAAAATGTTCTTGTTCATCTCAAATTGTATTTATATAACGATAAGACAAGCTGAGGGTCTAAGTCCGTTTTTTACTTGAACTGAACTTTCTTTTTCACCTGATATATTTCTACATATACACTATGTGCATGAGAAAACTGGTTCTAAGAGCGCAGCAAACAATTTTACTGATTGAGGATCTGGATGCTTAAAATGTTGCCATGTGTTTGCAGTTGGGTGCAGTAATTGAGATTGTGCTAAACCATGCATCAGTTTCACAATGACTACACTTTCTCAGAAACATAAGAAAAACAAAGTCACATATATATTCTTTTAAAAAGCAAGTCAAACTGGAACATGCAGAGCTCAAACGGCACAAAGCCTCGTGACAGCGTCACCTGGTCAAAACAGGCATGGCAACATTGTAACAAACAAAAAAGGAAGATCTATGGTGACGCTTTGAGCAACAAGGAAGTTGTTGCTGACACATCGAATGCAGATATGGGTTTCAGTTTGCAGTAGATGTGACAAAGCAGCTTTGTGAAACACATCTAAAGTTCACCGAGAAGGAAAATGGAAACAAATAGATATGTAAGTAAATGTTTACATATTTCAAAATATATTCTACAAATAATAACAACTGACCCGGGTGTGTTGCATAATACT